AAAAAAAAAAAACAATTCTAAATATGCACTTCTTTTTGGACTACGCTTCCCTCCTTCATTGGTAGTGATAAAAATTATTCAAATAAACTCGACATTTTCTTCTATATCTTGGGACTTCTTTGGGACTTCTTCTTCTTTCGATATCATTATGGAGCTAGCTAAGATAAGGAATCCTCACCGTAATAGGTTTACGTCGATACGCAAGTTCTGTGAATCCAGAAGTAGAACCAACCGATCGCAGAGAATGCAGGGATTGTCTGATAGAGTTTCGCCTTTCCAATCTTTCGAGATTCCGTCTCTTCGACTTCGATACCCAGAGAGCAATGGCAGCTGTTAACAACGCGAGTGCTATTCCTGCTGCCCCTAACACAGCCACTGCCACAATGTCTTTTCTCCATGATAGCGGGTCGATGTTCACTCTAGGATCTACAGCGATAAATGATTTATATTGTTTTCTCTTAACATAATGGGTACGAATATTTATGGGATTGAGTCTATATTCAGGTCGGTGAAGGGTTACTTTTCTACAATAATTACAAGAATAAGGAAACGTACCAATTTCGCAAACGAAGGGGCTGCGTTGACCACAATAATCGATCTCTATCGTTTGATAAGTGAAAGTTGTGCATTGATCCACGCGATCCAACTGCTGTACCCAGGCACGATCCGAATAATCGTAACGTTCCTGTTGTTTTCGTATGAAATGCCAGAGCTCCACGTAATCACCCATGATAAATGGCATAGATGCATTTACCGACTAAAGAACGTGAAAGAAAACATCAGCAGATTAAAGTGTTACTTGTACACAAGCTTTGCAGGAGCTCCCAGTTTACATAAAAAAGGATCAGTGATTAATGGTCTCACCCTGCAGAAATCTCGAGCACTATAGAAGTCCATTGGAGCACCAATATATATGTAACACGTGTCGCCCACGAGATCCCACGCCGGTGGACACTTTCCATTCAGAACGGATGCATTGCTCATGTGAAAAGGTTGATAATCGACTTGCAGCAAATCGGGAGAATCTCCACTGTCTCTTACTCTACCTGCCACAGCTAACGTTTCGTTATATCCCCACCAATTATGTCTCGCATCCACGTGTGACTTCCACATCTCTAATTGCCTGTGAAATACGATTTATCGTGAGAATTATTCCGGTATCGTTAAAACTATAAAAGTATCAGGAAACATTTTGGTACGAACTCTGATCTGTTCGTTGTGAGCATTTCGTAATCGTTGTCTGGATTGAACAATACATTGTCGACGTATTGTTGGCCAGGGGTCCCCGCGACTATTGTACTACGTCCATTGCGGTCCACTGCATAGTTTCTGAAACGTTATTTTGCCACGTAATAAATAGACGTGTAACTGAAGAATGGACGAGCAAAACGAAGAATACGCACTTGTAGAAACCATTGTGAGACGTGGTTTGGTAGATAGGTAGACGGACCCTTTCGAATCCTGAAATTTCCAAAAGATGCGCGCCGAGATTGGCGTGCAAATAATTGAGCGTCATGTTACTGACTACTTGTTTCAGAACGATGTTGTTGTCGTAGGGAGCGTTGTTTTTCGTGAAATAGTTTCTGAATATAGTGACTTCTTGATATGGACTGCTTTGGCGGCCCTCCACGTATCTGTGAAAGAAGATGACCATTATTTCTATGTTTGTTTCAAAGCGATACAATGGAATACAATGCTCCATGACAATATTGTATTGTACTTACAATGCGGGTTTGTTATAGTTCTCTGAAAAGAGATTGTTATGGATCCACCCTTTCAAAGAAGTGGCCGAACCTCTGGAATCAGCTCGGATCGAAAGTCCACCTTGATTCTTCTGAACTAGATTGTTCTAAAATATTTCGAATAACGCAATTACAAAGATCTCAATAAATATCTCGCATCTGATTCTAAATTAGATTTTTTAAATTCTTAAATGTAAGGCCACTCACTCTGAAGTATAAAGACTGCGTATTTTGAACGTCCAGCCATAGCGCAGATTTGCAAGTCGAGAAATTACCGTAAAGCTTCTCGCAATTGTTCGTGAACTGATTACGTTCCAGGGTCATTATTGCGTTTACTTCGCCAGCACTTGCGTATTTTATCGCTCCCTCGCGGCAATTCGATATAACGGAATAAGAAACGTTGTGTTGGACGTCGCGATCTGAAGAGGAAAATCGAGACGTGAATAAACTGATCTGTCTGAATGATCCTTATGTAATACTTACTAAATCCAATGGCGGAGATTGGCAGGGTAATTACTTCTGCGATAAACCCGTGCACGTTGCTTGCACCATTAGCGAACAGTTTTATACTGAGGCTGGGGCCCTGGGTTTTGAAAAGCTTCTTCTCGTCGGGACTATCAGCTTCCAGGTGGCCTATACTCTTGGCAGTGACGTTGTAAATATCTCCATCGTATAAAGTAATACTGTCGACGCGACCAAGCTTTCCAGTAGAGTTGAAAAGATTGAACTGTAGGAGCCTGGAATATGTCGAAGTCATCTTAACTTTTTGTTGAACGTACTTTTGATGTTTACGTATTCATAAGTTCATTCGGAATCGTATTGGATAGATTCTTTCTTCGTTTTTAGACAGTACAAACCTAAATCCAAAGGGTTTGGCCCTGTAGGCGCTGCGAAAGATTTTAACGCAGCTTACAGGGTGATTGTCATACTTGTAGTACACGATCACTCGTTCCTCGAGCGTGATCTCTTTAGTGGTATCACATATATCGATCATACTGAACAGATGATAAGGGATACTGAGGTCTTTAATTGGTGTGAATGAACTTTCTTCAGCTTCGCGTCCTTCGCCCGTTATCGAGAGTATGTTGATACCGTTTCCAAGCACGTTATCGACGGTGTTGAATAGTAATTCAACCTGTCGAATTAATGAGCTAGTTAGTAAAGAAGATGTACAGTCTCCAATAGTTCCCCCAAAAAATAAAATTTAAATTCAAATGAAATTTAACCCTTTGCACTCGAGAGATTCTCAGTCACCATTAGGTTTCACGCAGCAAATATACGATACCTAAAGTTTCTTTAGGTTTGATTTTTTTGGAGTTCGAAGTGTCAATAAAATGATTGTCGGCGAGGTAAAGGTGACCTTATTCTCAAATCTAGATAGCTTAGAATTCATGGCAATAGAATGCTAAGAAACATATCTCGAGTTGCTGGTAGATACCAGAAAAAAAAGCCTCGAGTGCAAAGGGTTAAATTTTCATTTTTTAGTCTCTGACCTTTTCTGCTTGCCTGATACTAACCGTGTGAGTAGGTGATATCACATTGATACCGTGATAGGCGCTGCGAATTATGTTCACCTGCGTTATCGCCGGTGATTTCATAATTGTCTGCAGAGCAGCTGACTTCTCGAAATGTAGAATTCCAGCACCAGTTATGTTGATATGTCTCAAAACTGATTCGACTCGTCTCACTGTCTCGTGAGTAACCACGTCGTGGATGCGATGCTCGTATAAATGATGTTCGAACTCGCCATTGGCGATGCGTATGCCACCCCAGTAATCATGCGCATCGTCCAGATTCCGTTTTCCACAACTGATGAAGACAAATTGGCTGTCCCATGGACATTCGTGTCGGTGACCGTATAGTTGACCGTTTAATCGAATCTGGCAGTCTTCTAATTTCTCTTCTCTCCCAGTGCACTGAAATATATTATTGTATGATTCTATGCTACGTTACTTTGTGAAGATTAGAGTGCTGCTTACAGAATAGTAGAGTAACAAGAAATAAGGATTCAGCAATACACAATACAAGAAACAAGAATACAACAATATAGCTTTCTCCTACACTCTATGAGAAATCATTTTTGGTTCAACGCATCGAGTCTTCACTAGCAACCCCAATTCTTTCTAACTTGTAATACCTGTAATGGTTCAGGCCAAGACCAAACTCGTATCAGAGAACCAGGATGCAATTCGTATCTACGATCGTACGATACGAAGACGTTGAGCGTGTCGTGGCCCAATTGACGACAGGCCACTTGAGCATTCCTCTCAGTAAATCTGGTATCGCAGAGGGGTATCCATTGTAAGGTTGTTTTATTGAAGAATTCCAGGAAACCTGTAACGACACAGGGATGTGAATACTGTGTAAATGTGCATGCATATATGAGATTAAAGTAGTCTACCTTCATTGTGCAAGGAAGAACACCGTCCATCCTTGCAAAGACGAATCGTTTCCTCCGACATTGAGACAACATTTCCAGAGTTTCTAGTAGGTTTGACGATGACTGATTCGTTTATATCGCTACGTTCCATTGGCTTCATTATAATCTCATGACCAGGTGCACCCACGGCTTTCAACGTACCAAGAACAAGGATACCGACGTTGGGAGCAAACTCCATGACAACGTCTGGATAAATATGCAACGTGGACTCTGGCATCACGGTGATATCCGATCGTACCACGTAGGGTTTATCCCTGGCGTGTATAGATAAATTCTCCACGATACGTCCGCCCAAGTTGTCCAAGTCTACTTCTCTTACGATCTGCCAAGACGCGGAAACAGATGAATCGAGGGCGTCGTTTGTCAAGAAAGGTCGATAACGAGCCACTGCGTGGTCGTTCCAGTCGTCGAAGTCGAAGATCCTTCGTCTGAAAGAAGATGGGGATGTAAACCAAACTGGAAGGTGCATATTTCTCTCGATATCGTATGGATACGAGTGGAAATTCGATGAAGTATTAGAGGAGAGTTATTCAATTAGAGGAGCTGAGATTATTTAAAGAAATCATGAATGAGGTCCATGCTCTACCACGATGCATTTTACATCATTCTTAAACCTGACATTAAGCATTCACCTCTGAAGAACCAAAGTTCTGGCTCATCCAAATTTGATCAAATGTCTTTCCCCCAAATTAGAAGCAACAATTTTGAAAAATGTTGAAGAAATCAACACTCACCTTATCTCAATGTCCTCAGGGGTTCCCCACCAGTTCTCAGTCACGTCAACCTCATTATTGATCTTTGCAGTCCTTATACCAGCCAGCAGCTCATAGTCCAAAGAATTATCACCAAATAAATTTCTATTTATCCGCACTTTTTGGATGCCATGGAAGCCCACCACGTAACTCGGACTATCATCCGTGCGACGTGGACCCATGCCAGCTAGATCGTAGCTATTCCGTTTGATCTCGTTATTGAAGAAACGAGCATCGACGTCTCCTAAAATCTCCGACTGGCTGTCTGCCTTGAACTCTACCATGTAGACACCAGTGTTGCTCGAAATGCGATTATTGTCGATTCGCATTTTCTTTTCCATTCCGCGGACAGATATCAAACCAGTCTTACATCTGTTCCCTTCGAATCGATTGTGAGAAACGTTTAGGGTAGCGTAATGGCCGTCTACTATGAAACCAAATAGCTCGTTGTTACGCCAAGTGTTGTTACCAAAGTACAAGGTGTGCGTGAAATTCTCGTTGTACTGCCAGACCTCTGGCAACGCCACTTCGAAACCACCTCTTCGATTCCTTTCTACGGTGCTGTCTTGCATAATCCAGTGAAAGAGATTATTTGAGTGCCTAGCATCGCGACTGAACTGGTATATCCCATTCCCATTGTCCGTGATCAGGCTGTCGTTGATGTGAATGGCGATTTCGGATAGGTTCGTCTGAAAAATATTCCAATGGGGCGAGTGCACGTAAATCGCTTCTTCCTGATTGTGGGACACCTCGCAGGTGATCAGTTGTATGGTCTCGTTTGCTTTTCGCAGAAAATGGTCACCTATCTCGTCCAAGTATCTGTTGTAAAAGGATGCTAGTATACCCCTTCTATTGTTCTTGATCTTGGACTTTGTGACTAGCAAGGTTGGAATCGGTCCTCTTACAATCTTGTTTCGTACATCCTGGAAATGTAGTTTAGAAGTGAAATCGAGTTGACTGACTGATACAAGTGTTTTATCCTTTCTCGTTTCCATACACACCTGTATGGGGGCTCGTAGAGCTGTAATAACCATAACAGCGCCACCAAGAGCCTTCACGCCACTGTCGTACTCCAGGATCACAGCAAATGAGCTGGATGTCACAGGAAAGACGGCCAAATCGCGTTTCACGTGCCAAACATCTCGATTAGGATCACCGTACTGCGAGTCGTACACGATGATCTGCTCCGTGCTGCGATTCTCGATGGGATTCAGAAGCTGAATACCGATCACGTATCCTGGTCTGCACTGTGGAATTGATCAAATTCGGTTGATTACTCATTTATTTTCATAAACAGTAACTGCTTCGTATCAATAACAATTCTTGTACGCGCTTACTAAGATGTTGAGGCGTTGATGGATTGACTCGCCGTTGACTTTGGCCGTTGTTATATACTTAGTTTCCCCGTCGGAAAGTTCAATTTCCGTTGTGTAGGTGGGTATGACTATCGGATCGTAGGAAGATTCGATCGCGTCTGGTACACGTTGAAACCAGCCCGCGAATTCTCTTTGCTGGACTGCGGATAAAGTAGGGTTGTGTCTAATCCCAGCAACCTTGTTATACTCGATTCTAGAATTAATGATTTGCATCCCCAACTGCTTGAAACTGATACCGCTGCCGCCGTTCTGGGAGAAGTCGCTGTTTCTGACGGTGTTCACTGCGTCAGCAGAATATATATCCGAGTAGAGTACTCCTAAACCATCTTGAAGATTGTCGATGACTCGAACACTGTCCAGGGAGTGTCGTGCGAAATCGATTTGCAAGGCTGGAAATATTTGAAATATGTTTTTCATGGTGCTTTTTGCGAGTACACAGCGCGAGGCATTTAAGGATTTTTGGCTCTCACTAAAAGGGACTGATAAGAAATTAAACCTAAAGAATCATTAGGTATTGTAGATTTGCTGCGTGAAAGCTAATGGTGACTGAGAGTCACCTCTCGAGTGCAAAGGGTTAAATTTCATCAAAATCAACGTGCAACAGTTAACTGATGTTCCTTGTGAGTTATTCGAGTGGTCTCCCTTAAATGCATCGACCTACCTACACGTGTTAACCGTTTCATCTGAAATACCTGGCTTGAACGAATTCGTGGCATAATCGAGCAACCCTGCTTTTTCGATAGTGACGAACTGGAGGTCGCTCCTCTGAGCCAATGGCCCCAATCGAAGGCCCGCCCAAGCGGCCTCCGAACACCTGACACCCACATCGTTCTCGTGAGTACAAGAATTCTCGAAGCTCTGTTCCGTCTCTGCTCGACACTTCGATATGTCGTTGTCATCCTCGGTGCATCTGACATTGCTCAGGACGATGTCCTCGTTGATACCCGCGTTTGGAATCTGAGAGCGTTCCATGAGCCAATTGTCAGGGTCCAGGGTCAGGCCTAATTGGTGACACACTAGAGCTGCGTCGCGGATTGTCCAGCCATAATTACAAACTGTTCCCCATTTTTCACCTACTTTTACCTGTTGATTACAGTAAGAGTAGTAGTGTTGTACTTGTACGTAATGTGATACTGGAGCTAGAGACTACTAGGCTCAGCTACTAAGGGCTAGAGTTTACTAAGCTCAACTATAAGTGGCTAAATAATACTAGACTCTACTACAAGTTCGTATATCGGAAACTAAGCATACTTGTATTCTTATAAACGAGGTCCTACCGCACTTTATCTTCAGTTAGTACCTGTAATCTTCCCTCGAGATTGGTCTTTCCCCCAAGAAGCCTCACAGGCGACTCCATTTCGTTAATTTGACCAAGTCCTTCATCCGTCAGGGTTTCGTTGTCAGTATCCATGACAATTTCCTCCTTCAAGGTGAACAAAATATCGCTAGGTCGTTTGCCACGAGCATCGAGCCTGCCAGCGACCATCATCCCCACAGCCAGGGGGAAACGTAACGTAACACCAGGGTGTAGAATTAATTTACCACTCGGTCGTACGTTGATATCGCGCTCGACGATATACTCTCCAGCTTTGAGTGACTCCAGACCATCGACTTCGCCACCTACTAAATTTGTACCGGGTGTAACGAATTGCGGCACGAACGTTGGATTCGAAATGATCGTGGTGGCCCCTGGATTGCTGTTGTGCAGCAAATACGGGAGGTACTCGATTTTAGCCAGGTTGTACCTGTCCTTTCTGAAACGTAACAACTTGTCAGCTATTCGTTCCGGTTCGTATTAACGCTTCATCTACCGGCCTATTTAGAAATAGTCTGCAATGCAGACAAATTTTGTCTACATTAGCATATAGTAATCTAGACTGACATCAATTCCTGCGTAATGTTACTAGGTACACCCAAAGCCAAGTCTGTTACAAAAATTTGAACATTGTAAGTAGACAGTCAACAACACAACAAATACCAGAAGGTAGACACTGGAATTAAAAAGCTTCTAAATAGGATCTCGGTAAATAAAGTGTTAAAATAAAATGTCTTGGCGCATAGATTAATCCAAGCATTTTAAATACTTGGATCCACTTTCGCGCCAAGAATATGGAACCATCGATAAGTGGCACACCTGTGAAACAGTCGTTCAAATATTTTGTTCTCCTCTGGGAATCCAAGCCAATTATAAGTGCAGTTAATAATTTTGCTCTGATCTTCCAAGTGAGACCCAATCTCGTACGATGACTCGGGATTGTTCAGAATATTGCGAAAAACCACCACGTTGCTCGAGGAAACGACGACGACCGCTGCCACTCTGGAACGCGGTATCAATCTCGATCTCATCGTGTTCCCATCGTCGAACAACTCGCGAACGCGATTGTCTCGCAGGAAGTTTCTCGTGAACAATAACTTCTGCGCGTCGCTGTACGGCGAGAGCCCGATACTGACTACAAAGACACCGCGATTTCCGTAGAACTCGTTGTGCCGAACAATGATATCCACGGGAAGAATGTTGAACTCCTCGTAGAGAGGATTTTTTATCAATATACAGCCACTGGACTGTTCTCTGAAATTATTGTACTCGATAACCGCCTCCATGTTGAGCGCAGGGCTCAGCTTGATCCCGAATTTAGCGTTCTGGACGAAGGAATTGTGACCAATTTGGAGCCTCAACAACCCTTCATTCTGCCTCCAACTGGACTCCACTTGTAACGCTGTCTCGGCGCTGCTATTGAACCAATTACCCGTCACGTTCACGTAGGAATTGCCGGTTGCGTTGCCAACCTGCAGTCAATGTAAATCGTTAGGGGAACGTTGCACGCTGATCAAAATATACCGATCAAACAATTAGAGGATTAAAGTGAAGTGATGGTTACTTAAGCACTGAAACCTTTAATTTCGAGGTTGATGACATTGCTTATAATTGATCGTCTTCAGAGAAAGGGACTAATTTTAAATGTAGCGACGGTCATTGATGACCACGTGAATCTTTCTATAGTCTTTTGCTCAGGAGCTGGCGAGGACAGAGATAAACTGAGGCAGCAATAGTAACCATTGGCGTGGATATATGTAAGAAAAATTAAAGAGTTCGAGACGGATAAGATACACTTTGCTTTTAATATGATTGCTCGAAAGAAAGGGGGACTCTGAGAGACAAAGGTGGCCCGAACGGCGTAATCCCCTTGTCTCTCTCCCCCAATGATGGGCAAAACCCTAGGTTTCGAATAAATCTGATATGTTTGTCTCGTTTCCTCTTTTGAACATTTTCCAGAGAAAGAAACGTGACAAACACATCGGCAAACTTTACGAACCCTAGAGTTTTACTTTTACTTTTAGAGTTCGCAGGTACCTCGCCAACTTCCGAGCGAAAGCCTGTACTTTCTTTGTGAGGTGATGTAATCATTGACAATCTTCTCGATACTCACAAGAACACCAACATCCTTGTTTCTGAAAATTTGCGAATACTCGACCACGGTGGCCTGATTGAAGTACACGTATTCGGTGGACGCGCTGTCGTTCAACCACACCGCGAATCCGTACCCCTGATTAGAGGAAATGCTCGTTCGGGACACGTTACGGTTTCCTCCTGTGTGGGTGATATTAACTCCGTCTCCCGTGTTGAAAGATATACGGCTGCCCGTGATATTTACATCCGCGGCGCCGCCCAACACGTGCACGCCAGCCACGTGCTTGTTGCTGGACACAGAAGTCTCCTGAATGTGCAGGGCCGATCGCAGTTTCTCCACCGCGATTCCTCTCCCGTTATTGCCAGCTATTGTGCTACCGGTCACGTTGAGATCGTAGGTTTTCTCTGAAAGGCAACAATGTGTGTGTTTAACAATTTACTCACTGGTAGCGATGGGCCATACAATTAAATTCAATAGTATTTTTCATGTTGACAATGTTAGTTCTATTCGATCTTTATTTTATATCTATTAGAATCGTTTCTTCGATTAATATTTACATATTATTTCATACAATGATTGGAGTATTAAATATTTAGCGGTATCAAATGTTATCTCAATAATAGATAACAAAGTTATCTTAGCAAAAGGCCTATTAATAGAGTCGATAAAGTGTTGAGAAACGTTTAGAGAAATGTTTCTCTTTCATATGTAAGAAAATATGTACACCATCCATTTTCTCGGAGACTTACTGTAGCCCGAAGTCAATCGCACGAAAACGATAGTGTTGGTGCGCGGTTCAGCGATGAATTTCACGAACAAATTCTGTCGAGTCGTCGTCACGCTTTGGGGCAACGCTCCATTTTTTATTTTCACTTTGGCTAATAACTTCTCCCCAACGCTCATACCGTCGTATACTTCTATCGTGGCACTGTTGTTTCTGTCTGTCTTCATTTGTAGAAAGTGTATCGTCAATACGTGTCCAGATCTCGTGAATATGTGCTGAAACGTGTACATTTATTACAATCGTACTTATAATCCAATGCAGCAGCATTTACCAAAACGTGGGAGGTTTTAAATTTAATTTTAACAGTGTTTACTTGTGGACAGCGCTTCGTGTTGGGCGCGTATTTGCTCTGCTCCATGGATATGATAAGGGGGAATATTTGACTAGCAGTCGTTGGAAATGTGCATAAATCGAAGACCTCTGTTCTATCTAATTTGTCGTCTGGTCGTTCGTCGAAGTGAACGTACTTTATCCCATCGGCTCCGTTATCCAATATAGAACAGTCGTTAACGTGTGCCATTCCTGACGAGCTGTTCACATAAATCCCGTACCCTGCAAATGAATAATTGTATAACTTGTACTGTCTACGAAGAACTCAGAGTTTGTGCCATAATTATAACAGTGACTGAGGTAGCAGGGCAAAGTTCAGGAAAAATAAAAGAATCAAGGAAAAAGATTCTATAGAATATTCCTATCAAAGTTACCTCTGTTGTTTTGGATGGTACAATTGTTTATTATGACAGGAGCGTTGGGTACGGTCACAATAATCCCTGTGGAGGCAGCATGGAGAACCGAAATCGATTCCATTTGCGGTGGAACGCCTTCCACGTCGATAGCAGCCGTAACGTTATACTCTCTGCCTGTTCCTGCGTGTCTATTAGGGAGAGACAATATTACTAAAAGCTGTCCACCGATCCCAGTTACTGAAACTAGAGTAAGACTAGACTAAAGTTGAATATTCGATAGATATGCTTACTCTATTACTACGTTTCGTAGTATCGACTTCGACTTTCGTATATAAATAGTATTTTCTTGGATCAGTGGTCGATCGTACAGAGCATCCTCGAAGCGAATTCCTCTCCAATGTTTAATGGCCTTCGTTGCCCCGTCGTGGCGAGGTAAACAGGCGATACCGAGATCAGGATGATAGTCTAAAATCGTGGGAGTAAAAATTAACTTCCCATTAAAAATAGTTTTCGATAGCATTCACTCGTTCGAAATTAATAAAGAAAAAAGTTACCGCAAACGCCACCTCCGAGTTGTCTATCCGACCACCTCTCGCAGTTGGTCAAAGAGGACTCGGTGCCTCTACATCCTGGTTGCTCGTATAATAATCGTGGTTTCGCGGGCCATTGTCTGTCTATCCACGACGACCATCGTCCGCCTTGGAAACCAAGCTGTCTGCATGCTGTCTCTAAATCGGCTCGTGTCCAGCTGTGCACAATGTTAATGAATTAGAAGAGTTAAGCTTGCAGTCGTTAGCCTCTCGAGGCATTGGAGTAATGTAATATGCTTAATAGTTTAATACTAAGTAGCCAGAGTAAGTGTTTTCAGACGTCTTTAGACCAGGGCTAGATCAACCTGAATCATTACGAGTGAAAGATCTAAGTTTCTGTAGTTTTGCTTAATTATATCGAAATCGTTTTAGAAATTGACAAGTACTAACAAAACAATAACATTATAACATTACACATGCACGACATTGGTCGAATGTAAATTCCACTCTTCATCTCGTGCAATTTAATTAATTCAAAAGTATCGATCGTAAAGTGCAGCCTCTAACTCTATGGTTATCAATCTCTTTCGATCCCGAATCACTATAAATTTTCCACGCGCCGAGGGAAGAAGTAAATACCTACTTTCGTGAGTTGGTGCAAACGGCACGCCACTCGTTTCGATGGAATAGTTCTAATCGACCTTCGAACGGCGTTGGTCCATCGACCAGTCGTATGGAAAGTGGCGATTCAATAGGGTGGACTTGATTGTTGGCTTCTGATGCTGTTAATAGGATTGGCGCGTGTGATTCCCCCTGCGAACAGAAATCGTTCGTAGTAATTGGAGTAACCTGTAGGTCTTCCAAACGATTTATCAGATACTTGATATTCGGTACTCGGTTCTTGGTGTTCGGTATATAACACTCAACAATTGGTATTCAATCATTATAGATTCGCCATTCAACACTTGGTATTCGGTATTTAGTACTTAATATTTGGCAATCGTTGCTTTTAATTCATGGTATTCAATCATTCCACATTCAACTACTCAACAATTGGCACTCAATCATTATTGATTCGCCACTCAACACTTGCTATTCGGTATTTAGTATTTAATATTTGGCGATCGTCTGTTCATGTAAGGGTATTTGTAACTCGATATTCAGTACTCGGTAATATACCGAACAATCAGCATTTTGAATTCAGTGTTTGATACTTAAAACTGGCTGTTCATAATTTTGCGAAAAAATAATAATTTAACAATAAAAAATGGGTTCACAGTATAGCCGAGTTAGAGTACTCAGGTACTAAATATTAAAATACCAAGGCTCGAATACTAGCTTCGAAAATTTAGGTGGCGTTGATCGACCATAACCGATCGTAAGACGGCTGATACGATGATCCTAATTCGTGTAAGGGTAGAAGGTGGAGGAAGGTCTCGTCTCGTCTCGAGCGTAAGAGGATTAGCGAGGTCGAAGGTTAACAGTTCAGGCCAAGAACCGCCGTTTGATCCGTGACCTGAAACACACCGCGTGGCGGAGGCGGTGAGCATGGAAGCTGATTCACTCGTTCGTGCTTTTTACACTGTGCACGCTCTTCGCATCCCGTTCTTAATCAAGCTATTAGTTGCCTCCTTGCAGGGGCTTTCGTTGGCTCTGCTCCCGCGGAAACGCACCGATTAGAAATTCTCCGTTTAAGTAGATTACTTCCAGCAGTTTTCCTTTAACCTCGCCAACAAAGAGAGTCTACGACCTCTGCGAACGTTTTTTGAACGGGACTCGCACACAAATCGGAGGGGAATAACGAGCGCAAAGAGTGTGGAGGACATTAAACCATAAATATAGTCTTTTGTATCATGGTTGTAGTTCTACACAGAATTATTCTATTCTGGGAGCAATTGCAATAGTGATGCAATAATTATAGTAACTCCAGAAACTGATGTTTCACCTAGGATTATATTGTTTTACAGCATAGGAGTAATTACAATCACGGTATAAAAACGATACTGACTCCAGAAATTGAAATTTCAGCAAGAAATATATTCTTTGATAGCATACGAGATATTATAATAAATTTCATTTTCGAAATAGTATCATTGCAACATAGTGCATACCATAAGCTATCGGAATAATATTATGTTTTTGTCGCCCTCAGGGGCTGTAGTTATGTTTTAATGTAACTACAGTACGGGTTCAGCAATCCCGAGGTACCCGAGCTATAGAGGAGCCAGTTGGTCCATACTATTATTACCGTACCGAGTATTAGAATTCTTATTAGAATCCCCAGAAAATTATACAGAGAGGTATCTAAGCAAATGCAAAGGCAAAATAATATAAAAGCAATAATCTAACGAATCTAAAGAACCACCAAATGTAAAACTGGTACATTACAGTCAAGTTATACGTTAATTTTGCATCCTTATAAACAAACCTCCTTCACTCGCGAACTTTTTTTTTTTCATATTGAGGGTAATAAGTACAAGTAATCTAAAATGTCCCGTGGTTGCAATTAGCCTACCTTACCCTACAAAACCATAGAAAACGGTAGTTGTACCCTGAGCCGAAGCATGCGTTAGTGGCAAAGTATCGAGGTATTAATAACACCCATTCTGTGCATCAGCGCGTGTACGTATACATAATGCCAGGCGTACAATCGTACGCTGTGTGCTACGTGATGCGAATAAAGTAACAATCAGCTCAGCTTGCGTGTTTCTGGAATTTCCGGTCATTCAATGTTCTTTACAGACGCAGCGTCCGAATCCCTTTGTATACCTGCCTTTACGGTCATCGTTTAACGTTTTTTCCCTTCCCGTTGAACTTTCTTTTTTCACGAAGCAGGAAAAACAAGCGCAGCTTTGAGCTGCAGGTCTCGAACTCCTCGAAGGCTATTATAATAGTCAAGTTCATCAACAGTAATATTACTCCAATATTGTTCGAATAAATATTCAGTCCCAGAAATATTCATACCTTCTATGTCTTTCAAAAAGATTTATCTAAATAAGATAATAGTCTCGTAGTTCTCAATTAAATTTTCCATTAAAAATGCATACAAGCTTAAAAGTATGTACATATTTATAATAAAGTATTTACTTGGAAACATCAGACCTTACTACTTAATTTAGACAAATTTCTTTAGTAGACATAGGAGGTGTGCAAATACTTTTAGAACTGACTGTATACTTAATTTGATATTTATAGTATATTATTTATATTGAAATCAGCATTTAACAAATAATTGAATCGGTGAAGCGTTCGAGTATTCGAGTGTAAAATGTCGAAGAAACATCTCGGTTCTGGTTGCGAGTTTACGGGCGGTGTTACTCACCGTGAATTTACTTTCAATCGCGGTTCGGGGAACAGACAACGGTACACGTTAATTGTTCGCAGTTACTTGTAAATATGCGATGCGTTTTTCCTACTGGACGCTGAACCCCGTGTTCTTTCTTACAAAACCCGTGGAGGGTTTTGAACGCAACGCTAAGTAGCGCGTAACGAGAGACGAAACGAGCCGAGGGTATTCGAGAGCGCCACGCTGATTACGATTGTAACCGGAAAGACAATTTAAAAGGCAATATAATGTTACCGCGAGAACGCATTCTGCGCGGATGATATTTCGCGTGCCGGGACAATGCACTTCGTAGAAAGCGAGAATCGGTCGTGCGAAGTCGTACTCGCGCGAAAACCGAATTCTAGTGTCTATGGATCGTGCCAGACAAGCTAATAGAATAATACGAAACATAGATTCGTGTAGATGAAAAAGTTAAAGCGTTAATACAAGCATACAAAAGCCCTCGTCTGCAATACTACGCTGATTCTTTGAATGCAAAAACCATGTCAATGTCGTCGTCATTGTTGAATCATCTCTTGCTTAAAAAAATACGCTATGCTTGGAAAGGGAATTGAAGTCCGACTGTGCGATAGATGGTTTATAATTTCGCTGCAAGTGATAGGTAAACTCGTTCTAAAAATAAACGAAATGAACAGTGATGAGTCAAACAGATACAAGGAGATACGTGTATACAATATAATTATGGGGAGAAGCCTATCTAGGACGATCTAAAAGAGGTGAATATTTCTGAATTTTTTGTGGACAACATTTTTATACATCTCATTACTTTATACTTTATATTATCCAGATTAGTGTCTCCATATCCCGGAAATTTCAATGCACCAGAAACACGTATTATACATATATTTTATCGCTTATCAGTGCCATGGTGATATCGATTCCCAGAGACGATACGTTCAACAAGTCTCGATACCTACGCGCTAATATTGTGTATTCTCGCAGAAAGTCATCGCGCAGTACCGTATCAATTAGGTGAATAGACTCCCGTTATAAGAAGAGAAGAAAAACGGTTTCGAGCGTATTCTGGCGAAATTTCGTTGGAAGCAATCGTAAAATTTTCTGGGAACGTAAATTATTACCGCCAACCGTTTCCACTCGCTACTGGTATGTCCGTAGTAACACGTGCACAGTCATACGGCTAGATGACTCATGTTCATTCAACGTTGGCATACACTCACGTAAACACTCGTGGATGGGTAATCCTAATTAACACACACGCGCGTACGTCCAGAAATATGCAGGCGAAATCTGTATCGGTATTGTGCACGCTAGACTTATCGTGTCGCTGTTTCTGTAATTTATTATTGTTTAATATTACTCAATCTTTACTTTTTCGAGTTACGCGTTTCTCATTCCATTACTAATTAGGCCGATCGCACACGGGCGCAACCGATTTGAAATTAGTGTTGCAAATCGTTTGCGCTCGTTGTTTCACCTAGATCCGCAGTCGCATGCAACTAGTTTCAGAGTGGTTTAAAACTGATCAGTTGCGCCCGTGTGCGATCGACCTTACAATTAGTGTTACAAATCTACATGACACCGAAGTTACAGTCTGAAAGAGTACGCTTAATAAAGATCGGTGACAAGCTATATTTAAGTACTTACATTCGCGGTTATGATCCCGCGAACGGTGATACCGATCATAGGACCAAACCGGATCTCCACCCCTGGTTCTATCACCAGTTCGCAGTCACGGTCCACGAAGAGATCCTCTCGCAATAGATAAGGACTCTTCGATCTCTCCAACAACCGTTGTCCCCTGAGGATGTGACCGCCAGGCAACTCCGTGGGCCCTCCATTGTTGCTCGCGTTAACGAAGGTCGGCTCCGTGTAATAAATGGACGACTGGTCGAACCCTTCGTTCGATTGTCCACGGGCAACCGTCAGAACAGCCACGAGCAGACACGCAACACGCATTTTGTCGCGTGCACAACGAGAAAACCGTCGAAACTCTCAATACGACTGACAACGAGAGAACGGATCGCTTTGAAACGGAATCCCGTGCGAATTATTCATCACTGATCGTCGAACGTAAAATACTCTGCGCCTTGGATTTGGTTTCTGGTTCCTCGGTGGGGTAGCACACTCGAATGACACTTGTTGCAACATTTAGATAGATCAGCATACACCGGTTATTACGACGATAACGATATTTGTTCACTGATAAAACGTACACATCGAGGAACGATTTCCAGTCCACAGGTTGATACGCGAGACCACGATCATCGGTCCCATTTTACCAATCTCTTCCCTTTATCGCGATAACCGCGATGCGTCACGCGATGATTCGATCAGTTCCTCGTGTACGTCTAATTGTAATCTATACTTTCACTGAACGTATCGTTACGTCGTTGATGCGTTAACTATCTAGGTGCACACGTACGTGCACATACCTACGTTCTCTTGGAACGTGAGTTCTTGGTCGCTGTAGCAGTCGGCGTTGTTGATCGTTAAAATCGCCCACGTTCGAATATTTTTTAATCGATCAAGGATCCTCGGTCACAGAGATGAGCAATATTTTTATCTAGACGAACAACTTGTCCGTTGATGAATTAGAAACTGTTGCACTCGAGGATGAAACAGTAGACAAATCTTTGTTGTTTGTAGATTATGTAATCTTTATTTACCTCTGTGGTTAATTTCTCCAATCAGTCGCAAGAGCGATCACTGAAACGAGTAACTCAGCGGTGAACGGTTTGAAGTAAAATTAGGATTTTAATAGTAGAATGAAAATTACTTGACGCAAGTAATGCACCTGTTCGATTGAATCAACATCGATAATAGATCGCTACACGTTCCATTATGGGTTACACCGATCAAATTTTACCCATCACCGTTCTAAGCGCTTCATCCAAATATCCAACGATCCATGTAACTCAGGAACGGATTTACCATTTACCGCGACGACACTGGAACCACTCCAACGCGAAGGTGTACTGTATTTTAAATTCGAGCGTTAACCTTTCCTCACAGCGTACTCTTTCACGCGCGAGAGATCGCAGCTCGACTGTTGCGACTCGTCTGCGCTGCTGCCGTTACTCTCCCGTCACGGATCCCTCCGCTTGAAAGCCCTCCGATCGAAAAGACGCCGATCATTTTCGACAGCCACTAGCCAAGTCCACTCCAAAAAGAAATCTGTATAGTTGATTCGCCAAGATTCACTGAATCGCGACTCGTACGCATTCGCGAGTTTCTCGAACAGTCCAACGGGGATTGGAACGGTCGCGTTTGATGGCGAGAAGCGCATCGGCCGTGGACGATAACCGATGATCGCAAGCGATCTATAGGGTATCCGTAACGCACAAAACAAACCGTAGATCGCAGGATGTGGCTTCGTCGTGGCGCGATGGCCACCTGGCGTCACGTTGGGCGCGGTTTATACTGGTTCCACTCGTACTCCTGTCGTCTTTTCCCTGGACGCGCCTTGCCTTGCGTCGTGCAGGCCACTACTGTAGCTACTATAGACTCTATAGTATGGCGCACTAGTATTGCTACCACCACCTACTAACGCTGAAAGGTAAAGCACGTCACGTGACGCTCCGTGGTACGCCATACGTCACGCAGGTTGTGAAACAGGTGAGTCCCTCCTGGGAAACCTGTCTTCGTCGTTGACGCTCCAATCGAGTTTTCGGGTGGTTTTCGGCCACCGGTGGCGGTCCTGTCGTGTCAATTTTAACTCTGAATATTTAGAACACGATGACAATTACGTCTGTAGGGTTCGCTGAGAAAACCATAGGGGAACAGCTAGTATTAGGTGGAGAAATTAATTCTGTCCCATTCTAAGATTAACTTACCATTTATTTACACGTTCTAAGAGAGCAGTTATAGTTGTGACACGAAATTTCAACGCAATCCTTAAAACAATTTATTACTATATTGATACTTCAGGAAAATGTTGTAACACATTGAAAGAAGTGGTTCGGGAGGTGATTTGAAATAACTTTTTCCTTTGCGAAAATGTTGTCCGAGGCTTCGTTGAGGAGATATTAAACGGAAAACACTGACCAATCAGAACGCGCGGATACCGTTGGAACGGCCGCGGTAGCGAAGGCTATGTGCTAAGCGGCCGCGTCCAATGTCCTTCGATGGACGTCGAGTCGCTTGTTCGCGTACAAGCGCGGCGTCTATATTAATCTTTTCCAAAGTAGAGGGCGCGATCTTTACAGCAAGGCGAAGGCCGGGGAGGGGGGGGGGGTTACAATCCAAGAAATCTGTAATATTTGTATCATTTTATTACGATTGTAGTTTTAGATTTCACCTATGATAATATCATCTCGATTATGTACAATACAGATACGATAGGCCTAACATTTTGTGAAAGCTCAGACAAGGTATCACTTGATTCCATTAAAAGGGGAGCTTTATCGTTTAGGTGTCACATCCAACATTATCGACTCAGAACAGAACACGATGATACTGGCGTTATCGGTAGTGAGAATTGCAACTAACATTTAGATCGAAAACGTTTGTAAAATTAATTTAAACGTTTCCAAAGTTAACGATTCTAAAATTAAGATTACCATTGGTTAATTTTCCTAATAAATCGCATGATACATGCATGTTTAATTGTCATGGTAACGTCTAATGGTAACAAGTCAGAATGATATCCCTGTTTTTTTTTTCTATAAACTCAGTTTCTACCTGAGACCCCTCGAGCACATGTATCAATAATATTATTCGAGATACGATAATACAACGAGGTTTAACCTTTCCTTTAGAAATACAAATTTTATCGAGAAATTAGTTCCCTTCCCTACCCTCTTCCCTACCGCCGTCTATTTCGCCGCCTAATGGCTAAGAGCGAAGGATCGTCATTCGTTCCGTGGAAGTTGACGCGATAAGATCTATGCGGAAGTTTCGCGATATAACCAGGTATGTACTATTTATCTGTTCACATATAACCATTATTACTCTCGTTTTCTCTCTATCGTTTCGCGCTTTTTCTCTGTTCTCCATTTGATGTCGATTGTGCCTCTGTGAATTAAATTACAATATTTCATAATATATTTGAAGTTCGACTACTGCTCAATTGCAATACGAGCATATTTACTGTAACGCATTTACTTTAAATTTGTGTTTTATTTTTGTTACAATGTTCAGTTGAAATTTGAGTGCAAGAAAACATTCTATCGGCGCGCGATCGACACCATGACAGTTGAAGATCAGTTCGAACGAATTTCAAATGAAGGATTCTACAAAATCAAAATTTTGATTCTACAATCGGTGTGTTGCAACCATTTCTCGTTCTTTTGGTTCTTAATATCGTAACACATATTCCGTATATTCTTTTTTGTAAAAAGAGTTTAAAATACATTAGAAAAATACTAAAGACGATTATTCTACAGTTGTTAACTTTACCGACTAGATTCTTTTGAATAGTGATTCATAAACTTACGTTTCTTAATCATAGAGTGCGCTGCAAAGCACTAATTTTTCACGAGAACGTAGTACTTCAGTTCAAAGAACTCAAATCTTCATAGACTCCAATCTAGCTTATATCTTGTCAGTGACAAAAGCAATATTGACATAGATATCAAACAATAATAACGTATTGACAATGTAACTAATACAAAGATTGTAGTGTAATTAATGAGCTACTGAATCCAAGTTTGTTATATCCATGATCATATACTGCAATCTCTTTTATTTGAAGCTTTAAAGCAACAGTTTAGCAGATGAAGTAAAGCACACATATTGTGCTCTCAAATTTAGTGTGTCGCACTTTATTCAACGTAACTGAACGTAACCAAAACATAATTGTTACGTTACCTGCAAGTGAATGTAAAAAAATTGTGTTTGTGTGAAAATTGTATATTTAGACGTGATTTCGAGTCCTATGAAAAATTGCACTTTCAATCCACCTGTTACTCAATATTGCTCAAGTATTCGTAAAATTACTTACATCACAAATTTATTCTTTCTGCTTGACTTTTTTAGAACGTAACCTATAATTTCATTAAATTGACAAATTCGTTAAAGTTTACTAGTGATCTCGAACATTTCAAGGAAAAAATTGTCGAGTGCCTTGAGTCATAAAATTCGGCCTCAAAATTCAGTCCCAAAACTTGCCGTGTTTTATTTTTGTACTAATAAGTTTATTATTTTCGGTATTTGCATATGAAATGGCTTGGTCTGGTAGGTTTCATGCAAAAAGTAACAGCGATCTTATACAACATCTTAAAAGTAAGTGTTGTAAATGGAATTCTCTTATAAAAAAAAAACAAACAAATTTGAAGGTATTAATACTTTTATGTTAGGATCAAGAGTAATTAAATCTGAAAGAGTCTTTGAAGCAATGTCTTCGGTAGACAGAGGAAATTACTCTCATCCCAGTTATGCATACGTAGATTCTCCACAAGGAATCGGTTATGGTGCTACCATAAGTGCTCCTCATATGGTATATTCCTTAATAATTAACATATGAATAATGTTTTTATTCATATTTTTTATAATTATTCCAAATTATCTGTACAAATTAAAATCTTTTAGCATGCATATGCTTTGGAAATACTTGAAGAGAAACTACATAATGGTGCAAGAGCATTGGATGTTGGATCTGGATCTGGATATTTGACTGCATGCATGGCAACAATGATAGGACCAAATGGTTTGACTATAGGTATCGAACATATTCCAGAACTGAAAGCATTTGCAGAGGAAAACATTAAAAGGGATAATCCACAATTACTTCAAAGTGGTCGTATTGAATTAGTTGGTAATTTCTTCTTAAATAATATAAATATATTGATATTCTTTTTCGATACAGCAAGTCCTCAAATTGCACAGTCTTGTACATAAGTGATTGTATTTCCTTGTACATATTTTGTGTGTACTTTACATATGAAAAGTCCTTGAATATCTGGTGTCTTTAACATTAGGAATGTATAGTCTGTGATGGCATATATTATAATTATGCTTGTAGATAGGTTTTGATGCTTAATTTCTTGAATTCACTAACATTGTGAAATCCCAGTCTATTGCATTCCAATAAGAAGGTAATTTAAAAAATGTGAGTGATTGTATTGATAATAGAAAGATCAAATTCAGCTAAGTTTTGGAACTACATAAAATTGTGTATCAAAGTACATTGTTGTAGAATTGTAGAAGTGGAGGACTTACTGTATGTCAAAAACCTTTCTTCTTTGTAAAACAATGTGATATTGTAGTTGGAGATGGAAGATTAGGATATCCTGAAAAAGCACCATATGATGCTATTCATGTAGGAGCAGCAGCTAAAGAAATGCCACAGGCTGTAAGAGATTTTTTTAATAATTCATACATATTTTAAACATTTATTTTAATAATTACAATACTGTCCATATAGTTGATTGATCAGTTAGCTCCTGGTGGACGTTTAGTATTACCAATGGGTCCCGAAAATTCAGATCAAACATTAGTTCAGATTGACAAAACAATGGATGGAAGAGTCAAGAGAAAGTCTCTTACTAGTGTTGTTTTTGTTCCATTGACTAGTAAACACAAACAGTATCCTTCATGAGATACATGCGTGCTCCAATAAGTGAGCATTTTTCTTATGTGTATATAATTAAAAGCAAACATTACACAAAAGACATAATTTTATTTGTATTTGCTACAATTCGTATAGACTATTGTCTTCAGTGTAACATATGTATATAATTTAGGAAATTTCTTTAGTTAATTTTTCCATGGGTTGAAACATTATAATTTATTGTATTCTGAATCCATAAAAATAAATACGTTCTTAAGATTTATGACTAGAATCATATTTCCATGTATAATCATTCGCAATCCTTATATGTTATATGTATATTTAAAATCTACTACATACAATTTTTTTTATTCTATATTGAAAACATTTTATACATTCACGGAATGGTCAAGTTGATTATCAAAATATTAAAAGAAATACTTAAGTAATACATGCAAAGTATCAAACATTACATTTATAAAGTATAAATTCATCAAATATAAAATAATTCCATTATTTTTTAGTTTAGCATAGTTGAATTCTGTGTGGTTCTATTTAACTCCAATATAAAATAGGCAGTGAGATTAATGTGCGGTATCATTTGAATATCTACTGCATTTAATAATGAAGATTAAATCACTTTGACCATGAGCACACTAATCGCAGCTCCTGATGTTAATCCCACTCCAAGGAATGCTCCCATCATAGCAGATGCCATCTCTTTTTCTTGAGATTCTACAACTCTGTTTAAATATTTTGTTAAAAATGTGATTGCGCTATTGATACATCTATTTAATATTACGATACTTACGTAGGAGTTAAAATAAATGTTAAATTGCACAGGTAGCCATTACTAATGGCAAACATTATAGTTATTAAAATATAATAAACATCCTTATAAATGTAAACTGGAAGATGATGTCTGGGTTGTGCATTACAAAATATGAGAGCTGGTACAAAAATGACTCTCATTACACTTAACAATACAACATACCACGGTCTGTTTTTCGGCTAAAAGAATATCAAACTATTTTATATTGCTTTTGTAATAAAAAGGATTAGGATATTAAAGATAAGTTATATGTTCTATACACACCCATTGCAGTATGCCCGATAATATTCTTCCAGCATAATCGCCGATACTAAAAATAAGATAAGTCACCACAGGTACAAAGTAGATATCTGTAAAAATATATATAAATATTAGAAGTTGATAAATCGTACAGTATTTAAGTATAGACTTACCATTCCATGCAGAACCCTTCCCTTTATATTGACTTTCTACTAACACTGTAACTGCTGGGTATACAGAAAGAGTTATAAAAAATACTAGAAAAACACTAACACCATAGTGCCAAATTCTCTTAACGATACGCGTATAAGATATTGAAGTACTTAGTGGAAAAGTTACTTCTCCAGTTATCGACAAATTCGTTTCTATGGTTCCAGATGTTTTTTCCAACATGTGATGTTTAAAATACCTCTTTAAAAAAATGTTAACATTATTCATTAGCAAAAAAAAAATATTTCACTTAAATGTTTCATATATAGCGGATTACAATTTGTATGTGACTGTGTCATTATCATAAGCCACTTATCACATATTATAAAACAGCTGTGCCAGAAGTATTATTGTATATTTGCTAGAATTTGAGATAGACAAAAGTGATCTGCAATGACGAATAGGTGACTAATAAAAATACCGTGTAGCAGTTTGTTTGCGATATCGAAAATTTTAGTCGTTCAACGTGAAATAGAATTTTATTTTATATTTTTATTATGTATTTACTATTCGAAATTCTGATTCAATTTTGCTCATCTCTGGCTGGAATAAGTTAAATCACTTACCGTATTTTCTAAAAGTATATAAGCAATCAATGATAAAAGTAAAATGATATCTCCAATGATAAAATATACTAGACCCGAGAGTATTGGACTAGCACCAATCCAAAGAGAACAAATTTCCGTGATAGCAGTAAATATGCCTCCAAGAGCTTGTCCACTTGACATAGCAGTTATATATTTTGGTGAAAGACGACCAACAATACCCATCAAACTTCCTCCAAAAATTGCACTTGCAGCTATAAAAAAAAGATGTTGTTACTACAAAATTACAATTTTTTGGGAGACTGATCTTTCTTTCTTACAACAATATGTACCATTTACAACTGCCACAGTGGTCAAAGTAATTGCAACAAATGCATCTTGCCCTAAAAATTAAATTGATAATTTAATTTGAAGAAAAAATATAAAATTTCATATTAAATGCTTAAATTTCTAGTAACTTACACTTATCCGTATTAATTTTAACAAATGCTGTTGTCAAAATGAACAACAACAATATTGTACACTGAGAGCCCACCATTCTCATTCTTAAAGGAACCCTATTATTTAAAATATATTTCCATGTAATGTAAAATCACAAAATTTGTACTTTTTTATATCTATTATTATTATTGCTGGATTTTTAGAAGTGCATACTTACTTTTTACTAATAAGTGCATTTACAATTAAGAAGAATGTATTTGGTATAGAACTTGCTATGCTTAAGTATGATGTGAAGCTAGCTTGTAGATCAGTTCTCTTCTCCAAATTTTCTACATGTGTGTAATTCAAATATTTTGTAGTATTTTCATTTATTTCTCTGAACTTGTACATCCAATACTATAAAATAAAATTAAGTACAAACATATATAATTAGTAGTATTAAATAGATAAATTTGTTACTTACATCATCAGCAGTAATGAAAAAACTCCATGGTATCAGGGTATTTATTCCAAGTAAATAAAAAACTATGTATGCAAGATTATACCTTAACAACAAAACAATACATAAGGTTATTAAGTGAGATAAATCATTATATAAAATTTTGTTTAGTACTATAAATACAAAGTTGTTACCTATCACAAGGTTCATATTGTTTAAAAAATGGTTTCTCATCAGGCACAGAAATATTTGGATCGTCAACTTCAGTTTCCAAATCATCTTCAAATTCACTGTCTGATGCACCCCCTAACAAGGGTTGTCTATTAATAGAGTACGACATTGCGAAGCTAAAAATATAAATGGTATAATTTTTAAATAACAATAGTAAACATTGTAATATAAAATATGTTTACAATAATATACCGAAAGTTCATATATAGTATTTAGAAGGTTTTATATAAAGATTCTTACAATCAAGACTCTTAAATTCTGTGATTTGTTTATAAACTACATATTTTAAACAGACTTTTATCACATTATACTTACAAAATTGCGTAAAAAGACTTCAAAAGAAGTTGATCAATAATACATTCGCACTTAAAACATCTAAATTATTTACATTTTGACAGACACGTCGATGTTTTATTTAGATATTGACACATATGACACGTGCAAGTGCTTTCCTAAAAACCATGTTTAGCGGATAGCGACTGTTGGACGATTGACAATTGTTTTAATCATCCACTGGTTTAGAGCCACTCAGGACTCCACAATGCATGTCAGTCATTACTGACCACCTGTGACTAAGCCACAGTCACAAACAAATAACCAATTAGACTGTAACAGTTATCGGAGTTATGTATTATATTTTCTATAAGTTCCTTTCTCCATTCCCTCTGTACATCTACACAGGGCCGACGTTAGAATTACTAGCGTCCCGACGCAATTTCTTCAAGATGTTTCTTCTAAGTCGCATTACAAGTTAAAAATAAATGAAACACGACTGTTATGGGCGGATGTGACATGAGTTATTGAAGTGGTAAGCAGAAATAGTCCATTTAAAAATTCATTTTCTATGCTTTAAACTAAAAAGCTTGTTAAATCTTTACGATACAGTGATTGGCTTGGCCGACTATCCAGAGAATTGTTCATTCATGCATCCATTTATCTCTACAATTCGTCCATTCGAACCAATTATAGTGGTCAAAATTACAGGTCTAATGTAATCGAAATAATAGTTTAAATAAAAACTAATAAAATTCCTGTGCCGCAAAAAGTTAATCAAATACCGACAGGTGATTTTCAAGATGTAATGTGTAACAATCAAAGGTGGACAAAGTTTCATTCGAATAATAAAACTACGAACGATATGTTTATTCGATAAATAAGTTATTCAGACCAGCTTGTATTTATCCATCGTGAAATATAATTTCCTTTTTACATTTCGAATTGTCGAACAAAGAACGGAACAGATGCATCTTATCTTTTATTTAAATATTCGTCAAAATTACAACAGAGTTAACAACGTAAATAATTTATGCGATATATTACGCTCGTAAATAGAAAAACTTTGTTTTCTTTTTTTTTTTGTTGATATGCCTTAGCGTCTCGTTTCCTTTCTTATAGAGACGGCCCTGCGCATACAGATGGAAAAACAGCTGGTTTCGTACACAATCAAATGTGACTGGCCATGTATGGGTGCACTGATAACACAATGCAATGCATTATGCACAAACATTACGTATAAATGAAACGTGAAAATTGTAATTTCTATTAACAAAAAAAAATTATTATAAATTTAATGTATGTATTTATTACACAATACTGTTGTTTCGCTAATCAAACGTAACTCTTTATTTATATTTGATGGCACGTCATGCACACATGTACATTATATATATATATATAATAACGACTATACGTAGTTCCCACCATCGATTAGGCAAAAAGAAAGAGGTTCAAGTCCAATGTTATACCGACTTTGCATACTGACATGGAGAAGGAACGGTCAGTAGGAAGAAGTTATATATTAAACATTTAGGAAGTGTAATACGACCTTAAAAGATCATTTTCAGCGACTAACGAGCTTACAGACTCGTATTCGTTAGTCGTATGTCACGTAGTAGGGTGTTTGTTTAGCTCGATGAGTGATAAATACAATGTTTATCGCGTCTCAGCTCGTAAACCATCGTGTGATATGAACGTGTAATGACATTACGGTAAACAACAAAATGATTTGTGCACTGGGGAGATGGTGAGCGAATTGGTTATAATTAAATGACGATAAAATAATTAGATCGTATGAGTATTTTCATTTTTCGTTTGACAGCTTCTACAAGAGAGATGCAGTGAGGGCTTTGAGTACGGGCGAAGTCTCCACCGCACTTCGACCGTTTTATTTTACAGTTCACCCTGATCTTTTTGGACAATATCCTACTCAAAGAGTAAGTATTACTCTTATGTTGAATAGCTTGTGCGAAATAGAATTTCTAAATAGTAAACGATTCCGATCGACTGCGCGTCGGCAACGCAGTTTATCGTTTGATTATATTTAAAACTATTTATAGAACAAAGGAAGTGCAATGATAATATTGTACATACATACTGACATAAACATTATTGACGTTTATATTTATCTATAAATTTTATTTCGAATGTTCTTTGAATTTTCCAGACGGTAAATGAAAATTCCTTGAAACAATTAAGCTCAATCATAGAAAATTTACAACAACAAAGACCCGTAAGGCCTACCACTTTGCCATTTTATTTACGCTCTAAAGATGAAAAAGAAGTCAAGGCTGGTAAATTCACTCTCGTAAAAATACAGTTAAAAGAGAAAGATCTGAGGCAAACTATACTCTCTATTTTGAAAACGTGCGATCTGCCAACTACGTTTGTAGATAAAATTGAAGAACCAAAGCCATCAGAATCTACAAAATATAGATCGAAATTCTGGCAAAGAACAGGAACAGCAGGGGAAAACATAGATTTTTCAGATTTAGAAGATGATCCTATTTATGCGTCTATTATAATGAAAAGAAAAATTAATTTAGAACCAGATACTCTTAAGTAAGATCAGTATCAAGCATATTTTCTTATTTAAGTAGATAAAACTTGTGTTCAAAACTTTAAATTGAATGTTATTGATTAGGGCATATTTAGAGAAACATATTAACGAAGTACATGTGAAGTTGGAAGCATGTAGGCCAATTCGAGAGGAAGTACAAAAACTAGAAAACGTATTATGCTCAGAATTAGGTTTAAAAAATATTACATGGGATTGTGGATGGAATATAGCTCATTATAGAGGCTGTTTACTAGCTTTCAAGGCGTTAGTTGAACATCATCCCAAACCAATGGAAGTATTAAAAAATAGAACGTTAGTATTTGCCAATGATACAGGCATTAGTCTAGAGGGAAGTGTTATGTTGAATTCAGGCGAAGTCAGAAACAATTGGCTCGATGTAAGAACAAATTGTTGATTTTATAGATTATTTATTAAATAAATTTTCATTTATTAAAGGGATCTTTTTTTATAGCTAATCAAAAACGTTCAAAAGCATGATGTTGTACTGTTGAGATTACCAGCTTTCGAAAAGGCAGTTTCACAAGTACTTCTTGACATAAAAGTTGGTCGACGGTGCGTAATACAATACATTAATTGAGTGACGGTAAGGCTCAGGGTACTCTTTATGTGCAGGAAATTCATGCCAAAGGTAATGGTTAGCCAGTACGAGCACCAACTAAGGCAGTTTACTACGACCCTCTCGGATTACCGAGGAAGACGAAGCTATCCAAAAGTGTGGCCAGCCAGTTTATCTACTTATGAAATTGTAATCGAAGCGTTAGTATTATCTGAAGTATTTAATATTTCATATGTAATGTATTTGCTTTTGGTTCCTATGTGAGTAAGTATCAAATAAAATTTAATTAGTACATTTGTAAGTATATTACAATATAAATTTAAAATGAAATATAAATAACAATAGAAACTTTATTTTCAGTGAAGCTGGCCCCTTAATGCTCTCTCCTACTGGACAGTTTATAGTTCCATCTTCGTGTCCAAGTTTTCTTTTGGTAAATTTTATTACTGAAAATTTAGAAGAAGCCACTAAAAGATTACATCACTATAATAAGTAAGATTATTTTGCAATTTGCTTTTAAAATTTTATGTCTTTGTATTATATCCTATTTTATTGCAGCGTAAAACATATAGAACACGAACTTCATGATAAAGCTGTTCAAGCATTGGGTTTGACTACCCTCAATAAGGACGATAGTATTACTCCAGATCTGATGATACAATGCTGCGAACGTTTACTATTGCACAAACGTGTTTTAGCTCCCCTGCTAGAAGGTGTCATGCTATGGGTGACACACTATTATTCAGTTATGAGCGACGGCGTTTTATGTATACCTTGGGATTGGAAACTTTAAGTTCCCATGTAAAGAATTCTCAATGCGTTTGTATTATTCTTTATCTTTATATTAGAATAACTGTATTGAACAAGTGTACAAATTATAACTAATGAATAATGTACAGATTATATGATAAATAAGTAATACATACTATTTTTCTGAGCAGTTTAAATATAAAAAAAAAATAGTAAATAGTGCAAAGTAAAATGACTATAGATAGTTCTTAATAATAAAGAAAAGAACAATGTATCTTAGATGATATATTTGCATGTTATCATTCTTGTACAATTAATCTTGACGTATTCCATATCAGTTTTAAATCAAAATGAATAACATAGATGTCCATAAGTAATTTGTAAAACTGCAATCAATCAAAACAAGAAAAACATAAATGGTTTTTTACTCGTTGCCATCGCTAGATGTATAAAGTTGTAACTTCGATTGTAAATAAGATCAGCAAATAAATTTTCTTATAATAAAGAACAAAGTACTTCTTCGGAGATTTTGGGTTTTTTTTTACTGAAATTCTCCTAAAGTTCTCTTACGTTCTCTTCAAAGGTCCTACGTCCTTCTAGAGTCCTTTTATTTCCTGCAAAGTCCTATTTCTTACATCGAAAAGAAATATCTCCGATCAAGCGATCAAGCTTCAAGTGAACATAGTTGTTACTGTAGCCGCTAGATGGCGCAGCTAGTATAAAATTACCAACATCCTAACACATAGCAATAACTCTAATTTTGATACGTACCCGAGATTGCTCGTGCTACCTCTTCGCATATCATGTTCTCCTAATACCAGGAGTAAAAATCCGACATTTCCCATCACAATTTTGAGCGGGGCGATTTGCAACATTGTTGAACTTGACGCTGCTCAAAATCAACAAAGTTGCAACTCAAAAGTTCGGCAAAATGTGACAAAATCCGAAAAATCGACTTGCAACATTGTTGAAGTCTCGAGCGGGGCAACATTGTTGAAATTTCGAGAGGAGTGACCCGCAGCATCGTTGGCTTTGCAACATTGTTGAAATTTCGAGAAGAGCGATTTGCAACATTGTTGAAATTTCAAGAAGGGCGATTTGCAACATTGTTGACTTTGCAACCTTGTTCAAGTTTCGAGAGGAGCGATTTGCAACATTGTTGACTTTGCAACATTGTTGAAAATTCGAGAGGAGCGATTTGCAACATTGTTGACTTGCAACCTTGTTCAAATTTCGGGGGGCGATTTGCAACATTGTTGGCTTTGCGACATTATTCAAGTTTCGAGAGGAGTGATTTGCAGCATCGTTGGCTTTGCAACATTGTTGAAGTTTTGAGAGGGACGATTTGCAACATTGTTGAATCTCGATACTTACCTCTTGTATCGGGAGAATGTGATGAGCAAAGTGGTATCATAATTTTTATTCGCGAAACTTTCCTTTTGTATCAGGAGATCATGATATTCGAAGAGGTGGAATAAGTTTTAATTTTAGCTCGAAACTTACCTTTGGTATCTGGATCACTTTAACAAAGAGGAGAGGTACCAGAGGAAGGAGGGAAAGTAAAGGGATATGTGCTATGAATTGAATAGAAGTGAAGGGAACTGTCGGAAGTTGTTAGGAGATCTTAGAGAGTGATGGGAGTCGTTCTAGGATTTTGGGAGATGTTAGAGGTTCGTCGGTTCGGTTGTTACCTCGTAGGCGCAGGTGTGACCCTGGTATGCGGCAACCTATACTAGCCTGCTTGTACGACCGGTTGTCACGTCGTAGGCGCAGAGGTGCCCCTAGTATGCGGCATCCTATACTAGCCTGTTCGTCGGTGCGGTTGCCATCTCGTAGGCGCAAGGATGCCCCTTTTATGCAGCAACCCATGCTAGCCAGTATGTCGGTTCGGTTGTTATCTCGTAGGCGGGGCACCCCTTACTAACTGTTTTGTTAGGTCGGTTGTCACCTCGAAGTTGCCGCGTGCTTGATTCCACAACTACTGTGATGTATATAATAATACTTGAAGAATTAATTGCAACTGTAATTGTATCAATTACTATTTTTTTTTTTTTATTAAAAGTCATAATCAAATAATAATTTAAGAATTTTATCCTAGAAAGTATATCGTTATTAATACTTTCTGAGTTGAGTTTTGTTTTGACTTATACAGTTGGGAAAGAATCATCATGGTGGCCGTTACGTTGTTATGACAAGGGATACGTCAAACTAGTAATATTTTTTAGAAGAAATTGGAGGGGCGCTTATTGTGTCGTTTTACTTTGTTCTTATATTTAATAATTGGTTTTTGGATCGCTTCATGTACACACAGACAAAAATGCCAGTGCAAAAGGATTCTAATATTGTGAAAATCGCTGTCCAAATGACGGATCAAGTACCACAACTCATTGAATTTAATCAAAAGCATCCGCTAACTGGAATTATTCAGGTACTTGGAGAATCGCACCGTTATATATTTGTTTTGACATTGTTTTAGTACAATTGTTTGACGTTAAAAATATTGAAGTTATAACTTATGAATATATTTAGAAAACTTAAATGGAAATTTTTATTAGGAACTGTGCAATGGATGGGGTCTCGTTGATCCTGAGTCGTATTCATTACAATTCTCTGAGAGTAATAATCAAAATTACATCACAGAAAAGAATCGTAATGAAGTGAAGAATGGCAGTATTTTAAGATTGGAGTTTTCCCCTTCTAAAACAGCTAGTGATATTCTGTCTAAACTCAACAATGGAACTACGGAGGAAAAGACTGGGGCTCTGCAAAAGCTGAGTACACTTAGTACAGACATGACATTTGCATTAGAATTTATTAACAAACAAGGATTAGCTTTGATTGTATCACAGGTATTCAATGCCTTGATAAACCATTCGTTATGATTGCTTCATGTTATTGTCTTCTAAATTTAAAATATTTCTCATAGGTAGAAGGAGAAAAATATAAAGGTAATGCACTCGCGCATTCACTTCAATCATTTGTAGAACTCATGGATCATGGAATTGTTTCGTGGGATATATTAGAAACACCATTTATTAATAAAGTAGCTAGTTATGTAAACAATCCAGCTGTAACCCAAGACACTAGTATTATTGAAGCTTCGCTTAGCATCCTTGAAAATATAGTACTGAATTCTTCTGGAAAGTATGGACAAGTTGAAAAAGAAGTGACTTTTCCCAATCTAGTGATGCATCTACAAAGTATGCGTCCACAAATACAACAAAATGCAATAGCTCTGATAAATGCCTTATTTGTTAAGGCTGATGTATCTAAGCGTAGATCCGTCGCTGCTGCTCTTCAATCTAAACAAGTTAGAAATGTGTTCTTGACAAACATCATACAGTCTACTGGTCAGGTACATGGTATATTTAAGTATTCTCATTTATTACGAGAAAATGTTCACGTAAATTTATTACAAAGCTTCTTCTTTACCTAGGTTGGTGCAGAAATGGCACATCAATTATATGTATTGCAAACGTTAATGTTAGGTTTGTGGGAACAACGAATGATGACAAAGATGGATCCTCAAGATCAAGAGGCCCATGATAATATTAAAGAGCTTCGAAAAATTGCTTTCGATACCGAAGGGATAGTTGGTGGAGATGTAACCGCTCGTAAACAAGGCCTTTATGCCAAGGATTATAAAAAATTGGGATTTAAATATGACATTAATCCTGCTCTTGATTTTACGGAAACGCCTCCGGGAATGCTTGCTCTAGACTGTATGGTTTACTTTGCACGTAATCATACCGAAGCTTATACTAAAGTCGTTCTAGAGAATTCTTGTAGGGCGGATGAACACGAGTGTCCTTTCGGTAGGACGAGTGTGGAACTGGTTAAGCTGCTTTGCGAAGTACGTGTTAAAAGTTATTTTAATATATATAATAATTTAGATGAGTTAGATTTATTATTAATTTTAATTAGGTATTACGGATTGGAGAAGCGCCTAGCGAGCAAGGTCAATCGTATCATCCAATGTTCTTTACGCATGATCATCCATTTGAAGAATTTTATTGCGTGTGCATAGTGCTATTAAACAAAACTTGGAAGGAGATGAGAGCCACGACTGAAGATTTTGTGAAAGTATTTTCCGTTGTTAGAGAACAAATCACTAGAGCGCTTCAGTGCAAGCCTACAGGACTGGATAAATTTAAAAATAAGCTACAACAATTAACGTATTCGACAATTACTAATCTTTGGCAACAAGAACGAACTAGTAGGGAAGAGTGGGAAAGTCATGCAACACCAATTGTTGAACTTAGAGAACAAATTACACCCGAAATTCTAGAACTCATTCAACAACAACGTTTAGGTTTTTTAGTAGAAGGCACTAGATTTATGAAGTACAGTGCTAGAGGACAGGTATCTATCTTTTTCCTTACAGAAAATTAATTAAATGGTAAATGCGCGAGAATTTATAACAAAACTGTAATTTACGCAGAGAATCAAGGATAAATTTTGGTATGTTCGACTTTCACCCAATCGCAAAGTATTTCATTACGGAGACTGTGACGAAAAATCAGTGCCAACAATTGACGAGCTCTCTACAAAGTTGGCTGTTGTTGAAATTCGAGGTTTATTGACCGGTAGAGATTGTCCGCATATGAAAGATTTACAAAGACGGAAAACCACACATCAATTGGCTTTTTCTTTAATTTTGGATTCTATAGAAGTTTCAAGTCTAGATTTTGTTGCCCCTGAAGAAAAAGTTTTCGATTACTGGACTGATGGCATTAATGCTTTACTTGGTATGTAGCGGTTAATATATATATATATGTAATGTGTAACTTTTTTAATAAATTCAGAAAGACAAAAATTTTTTTACAGGCAATAGGATGACCAGTAAAGAAGCAGAGAATGATTTAGAAACCTTACTATCAATGGACATTAAATTAAGACTTTTAGATGCGGAAGGAATTGATATTCCTCAAAATCCGCCTGTTATTCCTGACCCGCCACCGAATTATGACTTTTGTTACGAGTTGAAGTAAAAATGTAATTTACATTCAATGATCGCCATGACAGTTTTACGCTGGCGCGATTTAATTATTTCTAAAAATTAGGGCTTTAATATTTTATCCTAGATCACAATTTTTATACAAACGAATCATTCGTAGTATTTCCATTTGTATTGCCTCTATACAGTAAATAAGGTTTTCAATTATATAAATTGAATCCTGTAAGTATTTTAATTAGGAGACGCAGTATATTTTACCAAAGACATATTTTACATTTTACATATACCAATTATATATACCATTTTTAAATGTATTTGTATATATCAATTTGATACTTGTGTAACGATGTATTGGTTATTTTATATCGTAATAATAGAACAAATCTAAAAATTTATATTACTGTATTTAATCGACTGACTGTAATTATAATAGAACTTTGTTTAAAATAATGTTTAGCAATTCGATTTTTTAATACATATTTCGTAAATGTTGTGATATTGTTAGTGTAATAAATATAGAAAATATAAATTAATAAATTATTTACTGAAACATACCTCACAAACAATACAGATAAAAAGTGATAAAATTAGAAGCTGTAACAATGTAGATCGTGTGCAGGTACGTATAGTTGCAATTATTCCGAAAAATAGCATTAGTTGCATAATTAATAATATTTTCACATTTTCTACAAGTGCAACACTGCTGTAAAATAGTGATCAGAATATCTTACATGATATCCTCTGAAAGTATATGGTAACTTTGGGGATCATTTGCTTGATGATTTGGTGGGCAAAGGAAGAATTCGATAAAATTAAGGACTGGACCTCGGCTAAACGGATTCAAATATCTGCCTTTTTTGTCTCTTAAGTACGAATATCTTTTATAATTAAACATTTCGTTTGTGGTCAAATTCATACAAGCATGTAATACCTGTGAAATAAATGCGGATTATTATAAATCTAGACAATTAGAGTTACATTTTATATTTACCGAAGTGCAAGTCAAAATCCATCCAAGTCCACAGAAGACCAAAGCTTCCAATACACCTAATACATATAGTAATTCAATTCCTTCGATTGCCATGCAGTAGCAAGCAAAATAAATCGAAAACGAACAGTTTATCGCTACGCACATAACAAAAAGAAAAAACCACATCCTGCAACAATAATTAATCAACGATAATTTACAATTAAACGAGTTATATACAGTATATATATATCGTTTACCTATTTCTTAAACCGACGCAATTATATATAAATGGACAGTGATGATCGAAATATGTAACGCATCTGTTACATATTCTGCAGTGTTTAGCTCTCAAAGGCCTGAAGCATCTACAACTGTGACACAGTCGCGATAATAATACATTCCTCTTTTTCCATTTATCAAAATATGGAATCTAAAAATGTGAAAAAGCATTTTAGTAAATATTGTGATATTTTATATTAAACAATACTTAAATCGTAAAACAGTACTTGTTTAATTGCCCTATAGTAGGTGTCACTGTTTTGTGGTACATAGCCAGGATCCCTTCTGTTTGCTACAATCCATGATATCCACATAACAGTATTCCAATAAATAAAGCAATAATGGCTACCACGTAAAAGGTTCCACGTTAACGGTATACACTTCAGTAAATACATTGGATATCCCCATAATAGAACAGATATCATAAATAGCAATATAGGACCTTTACTATTTCCAGCTCCGCCGAATAACAGTGCCCTTTAAATCAAATAACGAATGTTAATATATTGTATTAACGCAAGATAATAATATATATATATAATAATCGATAATAATTCAAGAAAGATGAAAATAATACGAACCAAAGTTCGTTGATGGGTGGAATCCATCTAGCTCTTCGTTTTTGTTCAGCTTGCAATATTCTTACAATTTCCGAATGTCTGTGACTCTTTGCTAACTGCAACGGTGTTTTACCATTTTTGTCGCGTGGTTCCAATTCGATTTTACTTTTCTCACACAATATTTTCACGCAACTGACGTTGCCGGAAAGGCATGCTAGATGTAACGGTGTTGATCCAAAATAATCGGGCTTCTGCAGGTCTACTCCACTGTACATAAGTAATCTTATTAACTCTGCGTGGCCTTTGTACGCAGCCCAATGAAGAGCAGTGTCGCCGTTTATGTCTGTTAAATGTCCCAATGCACCAGATCCTAATAAAAATGCCGCAGTTGCAAATTTTTCAAACATACAAGCAGTCATCAGAGGCGTTAATCCTTTAAAGTCCGCCGCGTTAACGGCGACTCCTGCCTAAAAAAAAAAAAATAAGTAAAAACTATACAAAATTTTGATTAACCAAAATTACGGTATCGCGTTCGACATTTTTATTAACTTGCATACCTTTAATAATAATTGAACTATCGCGCTATGACCCTTTCGACAAGCCCAATGTATCGGCCTTGGTCCTTGCGTTCCGAGACAAGAAAGATCGACCGGTCCGTTTCGTTCTATCAAATATCTCATTACCTGTTGAAGGATAAAAGATTTCAGTTTGAAACAAAGGAAATATTTAGTATTTAGAAACTAACTTCGATGTTTCCGTCCAAAGCAGCCCAATGGGCAGGTGTATATCCCCATTCATCTCTCGCGCTTAATACACTTAAACCATTCTTTTCTACCAGTTCATCGACGGCTCCAATTTCGCTACGAACATGTTTAAATTAGTACCATAATTAATAATTTACCATAGTATTACCATAAACTAATTTCGTTAATTATAAAGTACGTAGTCTAACCCAGATCTAAGTAATTCGAAAATTCTTTTTGTTTCGTCGGATGGTGTTTGACCTGGAGCATGTTCATCCGCATAAATGTTGTCATCGGGGCCATTTCTTGTCTGTAAATCGTTGCCCTTAGCAGAACCATGACTCGGATGGGTAGTGCTAGAAATTGGAGTGTTTGGTAGATGCCCGACCATGTCGGGGTCGGGACTTAGCTCCCATACAGATCTTGCTGCACCAGGCCCTGTTACAGGGCTCACCGGGTACACCTAAAATTAATTCATTTTTTGTCAAACATTTTTTAACAACATACACACAATCGGTCTCACAATTATACGTTTACTATTCAAGAAAACATTCGCATCTATTAATTTTGCCGTATTATTATAAACTATTTTTTCATTATGCGATTCAAAAATGATTTTATACCGACCCATCTTCATCCAACTTTTCGGTTCGAATTAATTTGGTTAATTCGCTTCTTCCATAACGAGGGATTGACTTTCAAAACTTGGCACGCGTATCTTTTACTTCACAGATTTGAAATTATTCTCAAGTGTCGTGCATAAAAATACTAGAGTTTTTTTACACGTTACAAATTTAAAACTTGGCGGTATTTTCAAAAACGGCATTTCCGCGTTTCTGTAATTTGTTCCATTGCGACTGGTATAAAATAAAACCTAAACTTTTAATTGAGTTACAATCACGTGTATTATGTTTGTACACAAGAAAAATGTTTAGTTCACCTTACAAAGCGTTGCGAGTTCCGTATTTACACGTTCGTGTTCGGAAGGTGTCCTGAAGGATGCGCCCTGTGTAGAGGTTGTCCCACCATCCGGAACGGTTAGTCACAAGGAAACATTTGGTCCAACCATGTTTTCCAATTCTCTTCTTGCCACGCACTTTTTCCTTCACTGCGAATTAGTCTTTGAACAAATAGCCTCGTTACAAGGGAACGATGCGACGAGTCACAGAAAGCAACGTCCGCATTTCCGACTATCGTTGTTTGACATTGCGCATTCGAATCAATACCGTGGTTGAATGAACGCCTGCGTACTAAAATCACGCCAAATGCAAAACTGTTACGGTTATCCTTGTTACAATTTCAATGAAAACATACGCTACTGTATTTTATTCGAGGAAAATATGAATGCAAATATTTTAAGAATTATTATAATTCATATCATAAGGTGTAAGGAAAATCTAACGTAAACTTAAACCACAAGATTACTGAACTGGTATCCTGATCCTAGACAGTTGGTAACAGAGGTGTACACCGCGGGTAAATTCCCATTTTTTCTTTTCCCTTCGTGGTGAAATTCCATTTCGTCTCACCCTTCTTCTTAGAACGTTTCCCTTTAATTTCCCATTATATTCTGGTACCTTTGCCTTTAATTACCCTTCATTTCGTGGTTCATTTGTCATAGATGAAAGAAATAGCTACAAAAATCATAGATGTTTTGACGTAAGTGTAGAGAGTGGTGGAGAATACATTTAGCACTTTAATTATAAATTGTAAGTTTACATTGTGTCGAACAAAGTATATAATAATTTATGCCTGCAGTTTGTGGCTACTCATTTTTAAACTAGATCTGATCAATTTTTACCTACTTACTTATTTCGCTTTATTTACCGAGCGTTAATGTTTTAATGCAATCTATTCACTTATCTACGCATGATAAATGCTTTTAGCCGAAGGTGGTGACTCCATCTAGCAGCGAAAGTATAAACTTTTTTTTTTTTGTTGTGACAAACTTGGACGTTTTGTCGCCGAGAGCGCTAGTCATCATTTATGATTAGTTCACCTATTCACCGCGAGATGGCAACCCATTTCGGCGCGTTTTCTTAAAAGAAAATTTGTATGTATATTCCATTTGTATGATTCAAAGAACATACCCTTAATGATAACCTTCTTGCAATATAACATAGCGAGATATTTCGTTATGAATTAATGTATATAATATTAAAAAATAAATTCATCGTAAACCTATATCCAAAGCGGCATTTTACATGTATCACTTTAAAGTAAACGATTCAAGTTATAATTTTATTCATATATATGTAGCGGATAATTATAAATATTGTAATGAAATTAGACAATTATTGTTGTTCCTCAGCAATCAAGTTCTAATAATATGTAATAATTGCGAATTAAATTTCTTATCTAATTATAATCTATCTTATGTTCACTTACCTTAAAATTTGTAATGGTTATTCGTGCATATTGTTAATAACTTTTAATTATTTAACAAGGGAACTAAGAAAAAAAGAGATATGTATAGATGTAAAAGATTCTAGAACCTACAACGAAACTTTCAAATGCAAGTTTGTAATTTTATGAATGTATAGAAATTCTCGAACTTGTGTGTCAGTTCCATCATTAATAATAAAAGAAAATACAATAACAGTGTTCTAATTATTTTGTATATAACTAA